CATATAATCATCATTACATGGAATTTGAAATAAAATGTATTTAAATGCTTCAGCTATCATTTTAATTTTGTAAAATAGTCGGCTATAGTTTTAGTTTGCTTACTTTCTTTTGTGTAAATAAATAATCAGTGTTTTCATTTGGCATTTTATAATTTAGGGTTTATTTTTTGTCACTAGACAGTAACTGCAATATGTGAAAGGAAAAATCCAGTGTAACTGTAACACTTTATGGAGAAATAATGAAACTTGAAGAGCTTCCCCTTTTTAATACTTGGTTTGAACGATTCTTCATGCAGGTGTTTTACACATATTCAGAAGCTATAAGTGATTGAATCCATGTTTGACCTTTATTTTGGAAAGAACTCTCTTGCTGTGTTTGCTTCCCTGATTGTTTTGTGATACAACATGTTCGTCTTCTGCTGCTCTTTATTCCTTAAATGTATCTTTTTTATGGTTTCATCTTGATGCTAAATCTTTTATGTTAACATAAACCCATTCAAAAATGTGGTATGACAAATGTGACCCATCTGGAAGCTTATCATTGTCATTTGTTGGCAGCTAGTACAAATGGTTCAGGTTACACTGAGGCAGGTTTAGTCTTAGTGATTAGGCATGGCCCTAAAATTCCTTTGGGCATCCTTATGGTCTGTCACCAACAATCAGAAGCTTATCACATATGTCACAATAATTGAAATCACAATACTAGAAACTATAAAACAGTGAACTTTTAGCCATACTTTTTACACTCATCATTGGGAAGATATAAAAACCTTCATAGCATTCATATGACTGTTATTAAATATAAGCACACATACTTGCTTTTGAACCTACATAATGTTACGTGCCATAACTCAGTTGGGCTTTTTTACAACCACAATGTAAGTGCTAACTGTGCTTCATATTTACATCTGATGTAGTTTATATTACCAGAGTTAGGCTCCATGCATCACATGTGTACAGATTAGAGAACAGTGGTTTAATGCATGCCATCCGTCAGTATTACAAAAATTAAAGCTGGAGGCATGACCCTAAGTACCAACACAGAAGTAACTTGACATGTGACCATTTTCAGTAAGTATATTGTGTAAGAGTTTCAAAAGGCATGAAAACGATTGATCTCTTTGAATGCTGGATATTTACATGCCCAGTCTGAAAGCTTTCATCATATATGCTGAGAATTTAACTGCTGTCAGAGGTCAGTGATATTAAACTGTACTGATGCTCCTGAT